AAAAAAGCTTCTTAAATATATATACATATTTATAAATATATATATATTTAACATGCAAGGTTAATGTGCAGATTAATTTCCCTTTAAAATTGCGAAAAAATGACTACAGGTGTTGTATTTTTGTTGGTTTTTTTTTAATTTAGTGCTGATCGCATGCAGCATGAGCAGCAAACATAGTTTACCTGATTTATAAAATTTTTTTTTCTTTTGTTTTTCTATTTATAGTATATAGATAAAATAATATTTAGAAGAGAAAAAACAAAATTTTTTGTTTTGCTTCTTTTAAAACTGATTGACTTACTTTTGTTCATCAGAAAATTGTCTTATCATTTTTCTTGGTTGACTAATATATGATAATGGTTCTTGTTGATTTAAAGATTTTGTTTTTTCCATTACACCATGATTAAATCGTCGTGGTGAATCACGAATAACTGGTTGGACAAATGCTAATGGTTTTTTAGTTACTCCGGTTGAAGGAAAATCTTCATGTATTGATGATATAGCATTTGATTGAGACATTGGTGCAACTGGATAATTTATATTCACTTGAGAATTTATTGAATATGATACATCGGATGTATAATCACTATCATCCGAAACTAAATAGGGAAACCGGAATTTTGTTTTATTTCTCGTTGAAAATGAGTTCATAGAAAAATACTTACAGTGCGAATGAGAACGATTACTCAATTGTCGATAATGAGGAGGATTCTAAAATATAGATGAATATATATTTATAAATTGAGATATACATGTTTTATATATTTAAAGTGGTTCTATTGGGACTATTAAAGCGAGAGAGTGAAACATAGCAAATAAATAAATATATATACATAAGATGATTCATTACTTCTTCCTATTGATGGAGGGATTTCTACCTGTTGCATATGGTTCTTTTTTAATCTTTTCACGCAATATGATTTGATTGGGCTAACAGTTTTTTTTTAATGAGCTTCGTGATGAAAATGAGAGAGAAGATAACCAAAACTCTTGTCCTTCGGCTACCTGCCAGTGTGGGATACCTGCCCAGCGGTAGACTCATTAGCTCGATATCTTCCTTACAATTAATAGTAGCTGTAGTTCTGAACAGAAGGTCGACCTGATGCAGAGTTCTTGCGTTCAATCGTTTAAGCTCCTGGTACATACCGACTATATACTATCCTAACTTAATCAACATGCTATGGGACCGATGATCCGAAACAAACAGCCGTTAGTGATTTGTTCAGAGTCAATCCATGACTAAGAGTACCGAGATTTGAACACAGTACCTATTAGATACATGTCGAATAACGTAGTTACTCAGTGATGAAGGCATCTTCGATTAGAAATATCATGAAAATCTTTTTCCACTAAACATTTATTATAGTGAAATCTTTCTCTTAAGTGTTTTTCATAAGTTATTAGTGTTGCTATATTACAAACGGACTTTTTTAATCTACGGTGTCATTCTAGTTTGATACTTCAATGGTTGACTATTCTTCTGACCAGTAATCTGCTGTCAATATATCGATGGTAATGCGAATAAAAGTGAGACATGAGTAAACTATTCCAACATCTTTTAGATGAAAAACAGTAAAAAGAGATTTTTCGAATAATTATTAAGAAAAATTTTATTAATAAAGAAATTAACGATGTATTAAATGACGATAAAATTCTCTGAAAACGAACTATTTTCTATATTTCTGACATAATAAAAGTTTAACTCAATGAATCTAAATATTTTACCTGTATGATGAAACATGTAAACCACTCGCCAATCATTAGATTTTTTTAAAAAAGTATTGTATTTAGCAATGCAAAATCTATGCCTATTTACTACTAGATATAAATATCATCACATCATGAATTTTTACCATCGATTAAAAAGAAAAAGATAAATATTATTAACAATAAAAAAATCCTTGGTATGTCAACATAGAAAACAAATATAACGGTCTGGTTGAATAAAATTATCTGTCAACGTATGTCACGAATACGCAAAAAAATTCGATCTATGAAGATAAAGAAATGTATACTGATTGAAATGTTTCTTTTTCTTTTTTAATAATAAATAAACTTCTATTCACTACGCTATATTGTCAAAATTCTATTTAATTCTTGATATAATGACTTACAAATATTTGTTTTTCAAATGTAAATAGTTTTCTACTTTTAGAACTAATAAATGCGACAAAGAAAAAAACGACTCATAAATATTGGAATTCTTAAAATCTATAACAATCTATTTTTTTTTT